GTGGGTGGGAACCTTTCCTAAGCTGGAGGGTGAGGGATCCAGCCCAGGCAGTCCAGCATGTGGCTTTTGGAGAGCAGGTGGGGTCTGGCACCCTGGGAATAGCCGTTGTCCTGAGAGATGGACGGCCTCAGGACTGTTGGGTCTTGCACTGAAAGTCTAGGGCATGCGGATAGCTTAGTGGCTGGGGCTAACGGCCTCCTAGCCTGGGTACCACTCCAGTCTGAGGGCTCTGGGCACGGTGAGTGCCTGGCTTACGGCTGTGTCTGAGGCTGTGTCCAGCTTCCTTATGCCAGGGCAGGAGCAGAGACATCTGGGTACCAGGGTGCTTTTGTCCTGTGAAGGGAAGAGGTTGTGGCTTTCTGTCCACTGAGGATGGGGCAGTGGGGGCAGCATGGACTGCACAATGTTCTCTGCACAGGTTGAGGGTGGGGCAGCTGGTGTGGGGTCCAGGGCAGTCCTGAGATGGAGGCACTATGCTCCCCAGGAGACCTCGGACAAAAGCGTCATTGAGTTGCAGCAGTATGCCAAGAAGAACAAGCCGAACCTGCACATCCTGAGTAAGCTGCAGGAGGAGATGAAGAGGCTGGCCGAAGAGAGGGTGAGCACAGGCCATGGCTCCTCCATCCCCTTGTCCCCAAGGCAGGGGAGGGGATCAAACTGTGTCACACAGTGGCAGCTGTGGGAGGAAAGCCATCCCCTAGAAACCCATCACTGGCTTTTGATACCCTAGCAGTGCCCAGTCACCTGAAAGGCCTTCCATTAGATTTGTTTTTCCTTGAGCTTTAGCATTCGTGATAACTTATGCTGAATCACTATTTTATACAGATAAATGAGAGCTGGCAGCCCCGGCTTGTGATTGTGAAGGGCCGAGCTTCTTGTATGCTTTGGGTCCCCACTTGGTGCTGGCTGTTTGAGGGCAGGACCAACACCCCTGCCCCCCTCCCCACCACATACACTCATGGTCCGTGTGGGTGACAGACTGCCATCCTGGACCTCTTCCTCCTGGAGTCCTCAGCAATTCTGAGGGGGTAGTATGGTTCACAGTACAGTTGAACCTAGGTAGGGCTCAGTCCCCGTGCAGCTTTCTAAAGCCACCCACTCGGGAGGCCTCTGGGCTCAGACCTTTTCAGTTGTGATATCAGCCTGGGCCTGTATAAACCGTGAAGGAGGTACCTGTTGTCTTTGTAGGCTTCTGGGTCCAGGGATCCCTTGCTCCTGCCCGCAGGTGGGGGTAGGGAGAGAGACCCACCCAGGTGGCTTATCCCTGTTGGCTTTGACCTTGGCCCTTCATTTTTTAGTGTGTGTCCTGATTCCCAGGGAATCATGTGGTACTCTGATGGCATCCAGGGTGACCCTCTCATCCAGGCTCCTGCCCAGCCCACTCCTCAGGCCTTCCCTCTTTCCAGCCTGAAATTGCAGAGCATGGGTCCCCTTCTACTCCAGAGACTGCCTGGCATCAGTCTGCTGGTCTCACTTCCTACCCACCCATCTCCCTTTGGAGCCTCTTGCCTGAAGCTTGGCTGCACTTGTTCCCACCTCACTGGCATCCCTGACCATTTTTTTTCTAGGAGGAGACGCGGAAGAAGCCCAAGATGTCTATTGTGGCATCTGCCCAGCCTGGTGGCGAGCCCCTGTGCACTGTGGATGTGTGAGGTAGTGGTGGACCAGGCATGAGGGCTGCCTGCTCTGCTGCTGGGGAGACTATGCACCGCTCCCTCTGCAGCCTCTCACTTCTAATCTAAGTTCCTCCCCTGCAGTCCCATGTCTGAGGGCTGGGGCCAGAGGGGTGGGGCTCCAGTGTATGGTGACAGCCAGGGCCACATACTGTACCGTTTCCTTGTGGGCCACCCACAGGTCTGAGGACATGTTCAAGCATCAACTTATCCTGCCTGCACAGGTGGAAGCTGAGCGTGGAGATGACCTCTGCTTGTATGGATTTGCTGCAGACTGGTTTTATGAAGGTTTTTATGAATTTTAGTATGTAACATGCACTGACAAGAAATGATAGTTGGATGACAGATGAAATGAGAACATGATGGCCAAGACCTATGGCACCCTGTGCCCAGGGCTCCTGCGGGCCACTGCAGGGACCTGGTCAGAAGGCATATGCTGGCACCCCATCCCCTTTCCTGCCTCCTGTGTTTTTCCTTTTTCTCTGAAAATGTTATAATAGGAATGAGTATTTCAGACCATTTTGGTTTAAAATAAACACAGTTTTAGCATCAGAACTGTTTTTCAGAGATTGCAGGCAAATCATCAAGGTGATTATTATTTAGCCAGTGAGTCTCTTATTGCCCAAGCCCTGAGCTGGGGTGTGGTTCATTTTTCTGAGTCTTTTTAAAACAATTTTTAAAAATTTTTTATTGCTTTGAGAGAGGAAGAGAAAAAAATCATTAATTTGTTGTTCCACTTATTTGTGCATTCATTGGTCGATTTCTCGTATGTGCCCTGACCGGGGATCGAACCCACAGCCTTGGCGTATCAGGATGCTACTCTAAACAACTGAGCTACTAGGCCAGTGCTTTCTGAGTGAGTCTTAATGCCCTGAAAACACACCTTCTTAGACACCGGGGCCTGTTACCTTCACTGGCTTCTGGCAACTTTTTACTAAAGATTTTTGCACAGTCAAGTCCCTCTGTCCACCCTTCAATTTTTAAAGCTTTTATGGTATTTTAGCATTTGGAAAGAAACTTTTACAGTGTGTAGAAGATAGATTTGGAATCATGTAGCAGATATAAACAATTAATGAATTTTAGCACGTGGATTTATTTAAGAGGAAACAAAGACCCTTAGTGCAATCCATTCTTGATCACAAACTGGCACTCCTCTCCAGATTTGGTGCAAGCACATGGATGGTAGCTTCACTGGATTTCAAAGGCAGCCACCCTGTGCAGCCAGGCCTGGTAACCAGCTCACTCCTCTGACCAGCAGCCTGTGCTGTCCACCTGGCCCCTGTGGACAGGTGCAGGGGTAGATGTGTGTGTGCTTGGGGCCCTGGGTTGTCCCCACATGCAAGGTACTGGTGGTTAGACATTGGTTTCCTGTTCCCAGCACCTATTCAGGGTGCCACATGCTCATGGTACACTGCCAGATACAGGAGCCCAGCACTGGGTTGCATTGTTCCATTCTTTGGGTGTGCCTGTCCACCACATCCCGCACAGATGGTGTTTGTTTCCAGGGAGACAATTGGTGGTTGCTTCCAGGAAGACAATGTTGGCCTTGTGGGCCACCCAGTGTATCCCTCCCTCAGCACCTATGTGACCAAGGTTGGCTTCTGTGTTGACCTTTATAAAACAGAATCCTCAATCAAGTTGCTGTAATTATACACTTGCTTCTGTCTTGCCTCCTGTCTGCAGCTGTGAATAATCATTTGACTGTGACTGGTTGCCCCTAAAACAGCCAGATGCGCCATTGTGAACCAAAGCTTTGTGCACGTGTTACTAGAAGTGGGTGAGCCTCACTCTTGGCCCCACCATATCCTTCCTCTGTCCCATGTGTGGGTGTGAGTGTTGTGTGCACACAGCTGTGCTGTGGGGGTGGAGGGCAAGGAGAGCCTCTGCTGATGCCACCTCTGTGCATCATGTACCTCCCAGGTGGTGGGTGGGCCATGGCTGTAACATTGAGCCTTGATTGTCTGGACACATAAAACAAAACTGTCCAAAAGGTTCTGACTGGTGTTTTTTTCTAACTGTGGGAGGGGCCTTGTGGACCCTCAGTTTGCCAGAACCTCTCTGGAGCAATCCCCAGTAGGCCTAGGGCATTTGCCTGGATATAGCTGTTCCCTACAGTAGCTGAGCCAGCAGCCCAACCAAGCCCCTTCCTTGGTCTCCCTTCAGAGCTCGGGACTAGCTGGGGATAGAACAAGGTTAAGGGTCGTCCTCCCTTTGGTGCAGGGAAAGTGGGGGCTAGACAGACAGGGCTAGCCCCTGGCTCTGTACGCTCTACCCCCCCCCCCCCCCCCC